CTCCCCTCCTGATAATTATTGCACAGTCCCTAATGTACATTTTGTACAAACTACTGGAGTCTCTATCCTAGAAACCTTCACCCCCCCAATAATTTACGAACCCATTCCTAACCAACGACTGGGATCCCTGTGGAATAGAGCCGGTCCACTGGCCACTGAACTTTAGACAACACGAGCACGAAACAAGGGTTTTCAAGTTGCATGTTTTGATAGAGGAAAAACAACCATGGGTCCACCGCATTTTAACATGAAACTCGACAAAGACAACCCTGAAGCAGGGATAAAAGAGATAATGAAGAAACTAAGGCCCGATCTTGACCCTAATGAGCTTGAATTGGTKGAGTTTAATGAAGGAATCAGTAACAAGTTGGTCGGGTGTAGAAAGRCAGGAACACCTCGTAAAGACATCATCTTATTTCGACTCTATGGAAATAAGACTGAGCTTTTTATAGACCGTAAAAGGGAGCTAGAAACATTCAAGATTCTCCATTCTCGAGGTTATGGGGCCCCGGTTTATGCAACGTTTGATAACGGCATTAGTTATGGGTTTATTGAAGGTGAAGTTCTTGATACGGTCACCATTGCTGATGATCATATTTCGACTCTGATTGCCAAACACATGGCCGAGCTACATGCTATTCCTCCTAAAGGAAGAGGTAAACCAACTTCCAGTCTGTTTAAAACTATTTATAAGTTCTTGAACTTGGTTCCTGCTGATTTTCCTGATCAAACCAAGAATCAAAGGTAATTATTAACTAACATTAATTATCGGTTTGCTTATAACTAGTAATTCTTAATTATATTTTTGGTTGAAAGTTATGTTACATACCCCTATTAGTTCAACATGGTTTTTTTACATAGCTACCACACCTTGTTGCTAGACACTGTACCAGGGCCTGTGGAGAGGGTGGGGCAGGGTAGCCCCCCTCTCCCCCCCTGCACTTTTTGCCTTTTCCCATACTAGTATAAACTATTACGATTTTGATTCGTGACTCCACCCAATACCAAATATATTTTCTCCCAACTAGCCTTCAATATTTCGTGGTATTTTCGTCGATTCTAAAGAATTTAACACACAAAAAAGGAGAAAAACAACCGATTTTCATTGATTAAAAGCGAAATTTTCCTTACAAGGAGATTGCCTATGGCGCAATCAACAAGCGTAAAAATTTGACCTGCGCACGTTCAAGCTTTCCTTTTTGTCACGCGTTAGCCAATCAGAAACCTTAATTTTGAAACAACAATACCACAAAATATTGCCGTCTAAAAATATAAGAAACTATTTAGTGAATCGCGATACTCTCTTATACCTTATATTTATATTTGCCAATCAGATGTTAGGGTGGTAAAGGGTGTATTTTGTAAAACATGAATTTTAAAAACATCATATTTTCTGTGAAACAAGATTTGGTCATGTATAATACCTTTTTGTTTATSTTATGCAGATTTCAAAAGGAATGTCTCAGCAAGGCTAAGCTAATAGAAGAGGCAGCAAGACTTCAAGGAGTACTAGAGAAGCATGATTGTCCTGTAGTGTTCTGCCACAATGATATGTTGTGCAAAAACATAGTATTTAACAAAGAAGAGGGTGAGTACATTTATGCTTTATTTAATTAAAAAATTAACAATTGAAAACATTTTCCCCCCAAAAAAATAGAAATAGGAATTATTATAATTTGTATCTGTTTTGGTGCCGCACTACTATATACTAGTTTGCAATAGAGAGTTTTCACGTGACGTCACAGTGGCCATGTTGGTCTACTGAAACAATGCATTTTTTATTCTCCGGGAATGGAACTCTATTCATATACAAAAGCTGAGCAGAAAGTTTCTATTGTTTTGTACACCAATATGTAAGACTACATTCTCACGGGAGTGAAAATGATCTATGCCATGCTGACAGTTATGGCCCAATGCCATCTATAGGGAGCTGGAGTAATGAAATTTTTTCATATAGTCACTTTGGACACTTGCATACCAAAGATTTATGAATTATTTATGATTGAGCGCATGTGAGTATATATGCATGAAATATGCACATTACAAATATTAAAGTTGTTATTAACTAGTATTAGTTTCTGAAATGTATTATCTGATGTGTTTAACATGATTTTTTTTTGTAATCAGATAAGGTGTATACRATAGACTATGAGTATGCTAATTTCAATCCACTGGCCCATGACATTGGCAACCACTTTTGTGAATATGCAGGTAGTTAACAATGTGCAAGCATATATCTAGATTTTAAAGTGTGAATCAAAAAAACATGGTCACACAGAAATATTTCAAGAATGTTTAATCAGCCAATCAGAAGCATTATTGTTATCTTTCTGATTGGCCAAAGAAGAATAGAACATTCCWAGAATATTTCTAGGTGCCCACAGTTTTGATGACGATGATGATGGTGAGGATGATGGTGATGATGGTGATGGTGATAATGGGGATGGTGGTGATGATGGTGATGGTGATGGTGATGTCGATAGTATAATGATGATGGTGATGATGATGATGATGATGATTGGAATGCAGCTCAATCTGGGGGACAAAACRATAGGTTTCAATTCTCAGGAGATGGGTTTTCTTTTGTTTTGTCCCCCAGATTGAGCTGCTTTGATGTCATAAGCAAGGGGTCTATTTTCACCAATTGGTGCCCAGCATCCCTTCCTGAAATAAAAAAAAATGGACAAAATATGAAAATAGATTTGGTCTTTTGTCAAAGTCAACCAAAATGGCAGCCATTGAATCCCCAAGAATTTCTAACCCTTCTCCCTTTTACRACTATGTTCATAACTATGTGCTGGCAACAGTTCACGATTCGCATTGCAAATCTGGCATTTTGCTGGATTAAACCCTTTTCCTTTTTAAATAATAATACCTTATATCTACTTTCTAATAATTATAAATTACCCTCTGTATCCAGGTGTAGAGGAAGTTGATTATTCTCTTTATCCAAAGAAAGATCACCAACTTAAGTGGCTCAGAACGTATTTAACAAGGTCTGCCGAGTTGAAAGGTACAATTACTTATTGATTCTTTTTAAGGTTCCTATGTAACCACAGATACATTATAATGGGATTAACAGTGGATTCAACAGACTGGCTCTTCTTCCACTGGTTTCCAATTAGAATTTAGAAGTTGATTTTTGTGGAGGRTGGAAAGCCGGAGAACTCGGAAAACCCTCGAAGCACAGGAGAGAACCAACAAACAGCTCAACTCACATACAACACTGAGCTCGTCGGGACTCGAACTTGGGTCCCAATACTTTTAGTATTGAATCTACCAGGGGTGTAGCAAGGTCCCAGGAATCAGGGGAGCACCCCTCACACCCCTTGCTACACMACTGGATTACACAAGAAGTGAATATTCATGATGGTGAAATCATCTTTACGTTATGAAGGTTTATAGTTTCAATATGAATGGTGATATGCACTTTATAGTAATTCAGCCAATAAAGAAATTATTATGACTTTTTGCATAATAATTATTTGTTTATTCATAGGAGAGTCAAATCCAAAAATAACAGATAAAGAGGTTGRGAAATTGTATGTCCAAGCCAACCAGTTTGCATTGGTAAGACTTTATAGCATTTTCCATGGATGGTGTCACAATCGCGCATCATTGGATTGAAATGTGAGCAAGTGAAGCCCATCCTAACATGCTACAACAATGTTTCGTAGTCTTGTTGTTTCCAGTTCATGGAAGAACTATCATTTTTCAACTGTTGTTATTCCTCTTTCCCTTGTAATCAAAGCCTTTGTTTGCAATGTTTGTATGCATTTCGATCCCACAAGGCTTTATAATGGAATGTCATGAAAAAGCCTTGATTGACGTCCACCAAAACTGCATCATTGYAAACTGTTCGTAATGTACTTGAAAAGCTCTGTAAAAGAGAGTTGCTAATTTTTAAATTATTACTAATCATCAATTGTTTCTTGATGTCTAGGCTGCTCACTTTTTCTGGGGAATTTGGGCATTGTTGCAAGCTCATTTCTCTGAAATTGATTTTGACTTTCTAGGGTAAGATGGCTGTTTTTCTTCATATAAGTTTATTTGTATTTATTTGTATTTATTAGCTTATTTCCCATGAGGGCAGGGAGACCACAACAGCTTTTTGCCAATATTACAGTGGGTCCTGTAGAGTTTAGCATATGGGCACCGAAGATGGTCGTCACCAGCGTCTTCAGTGGTTCTTTTAGGGTTATATAGTGAAGACAGTCTGGGCCTACGGTTTTAAGTCTTTGTCCCAGAAGACTTGAAGGTCTAACCATTTGCAGATATAATTACAAAGGCAGCACCTTCTCCTCAGTTATTTTTAGACCCTGAGTGTTGGTCTGGCCGAGGTTTGAACCACGACCTCCCGCACAACAGACCGACGCTCTTATCAACTGAGCTAACYGGGTGGCAGTCAAGTTGGAAATRATATGACAAATTCGTAGTTGTTAAAGTGAGGACAGCRGGGTGACCTTGCAATGATAGGGACCTTTTTTCATGCCTTAGACAATTATTCATGTGATATTGTTGCTTTAATGCAAAGGCACAATTACCTATCAAGATGGCAGAGGGCTGTGAAGGGGACTGTTGTATTGTAATCAGCTAGCAAACTCTACTATTATTTTCATATCAAAAGCATAGCTATGCACCTTTTTTATTAGTTATTATTCAACTAAATAT